ACCTTCCTGTGCTTGATTTAGGTTTACCTTGCCCTTCTTTCTCTGGTTTCCTGAAGTGCAAGTCTCAATGATTGCTTTAGCTCTTCTTTTCTGAAAGGTGCTTTGGATGCCTTAGATACCAATGAGGCATCCCCTGTGCTGTTCTCTACAGATTTCCTATGGTGGACTTTTGCATTTCATTTCCTTTAAAATGATCACCTTTTCTCTCACCTCTTTCTCCTGATCTGTTGAGTCCTGTGCTTCACCTCCCTTTGCCTGGAGGCTTTCCAGCTGCCTCTGGTCTGATTTCTGCTTTAACTCCCATGTTCTTTGAGCATAGCTGGGCTTTCACTGGTGTTGCACACTCTCACAGGTGTAGTTTAGGGCTCAGAATGTGCCTTGTCCTGGGGGGTGTTGCTGTGACCCTGAGAACTCGGTGTGCTTTAGTTTTGAGTGAAGGCCAATGAAGCCCTCCTGTCTGCTTCTCTGTCCCCATGTCTGTCCTGACAGAGTTGGGCTGATGTCTCCCAATGGAAGTGTGGATTCGTTGTCCTGGGCAGTTCTGTATGTCTCTGCCTGATGTGTTTTGACTTTGTTTCAGGTGCATGCTTATTAAAACTCTCAGACAGTTAATTGAAAGTTTAGCCTAGGGAGGGCACAGGCCTGTAATTACAGTGGCCAGGAAGGCGGAGGCAGGAGGACTCTAAGTACAAAGACAGCCTCAGTATCTTAGAGAGGCCCTGAATAAATTATAGAGATCCTATCTCAAAACAAAAATGAATAAATAAAATTAAAAAGGGCTGGGAGTGTGGCTCAGTGGTTAAGCACCTCTATGTTCAAATTCTGGTACAAAAAGAAAAGAAGAGGACATTTAACCTAGGCATTTGGGAGCCTGATCTTTCTCAGGGTTGGTCAATCTCATGTATTGTTTGGTGTTGAGTATTCTTTGTATATTTTGTTGTTGAAAAGTGAATTGAAATGTGTTCTCCCCTTTTCTCCTATGGTACTGTTCCTGTTGGGAAGGCTTCATGCATTTGCTGAGTCGCATTCCTCACACTAAAACACTCAGGGTCACTCCAGGGGAACTGGGCTGCGTGAAATATTCACACAAGAGACACAGATACCTTTTTCTTGGGGTTCTGTGATGGCTCCACTGAACTTAAGGGGGGGGAGAGAGAGAGAGAGAGAGAGAGAAAGAAAACACTTGCTGAACCCTCTCATTGAGAAAGAACCATTCCAATGAGGCAAGGGGTCAGGTTTCAGGGGGCTGAGTCTAGCTTCCTGATGTCTGTGTCAGCAGGTTGACTGACATCTAGGAAGGCCACACCCAAAGGCAGAGCAAGAGCAGGGGACACACAAAGGGAGTTTCCAAGGAACATTCTATCCCAAACAGGGCAAAGGGGTAGGATTACAGAAGAATAGGTGAGTGTAGCTCAACCTCAGGGGTGACACCTACATCTGAAGACATGCCTTTGACTTCCTGAGCTGGGACAGTGCCCAACTGATCATGAAATGTAGTGATCTGTCAGAGCCTCTTGCTTCAGGACTGGAAGGTGGGGGGTCATTAAGAGTGGCTCCCCACATATTTCCTCTTCCTTAATATTTGAAGGCAATTGGGAAATTATATCCTTCCATCACTGCATTCTTGGTCCGAGGTCATCATGATCTGCTATTGAAACACAAAAGGCATTAGTAGAAAACATACTATCTCAGGGACATAACCAACTTGGAAGATCCAGGTTATTATTATTATTATTCTGCCAAACACTCATCAGAAGACTCTTCATCTTTTCTTGATTTATTGGGAAGCCTTGCACTTGGCAATGGTAACATGGACATGTTCATTTGGCATGGTGTTTCAGCCTTTCCACGGAGCAGAGGGCTCAGTCACAATATTTATTACAGTGGCTTTTTAGAGCATTTTAACTCAGTTCTAATTTTTGCATCAGCATTTATCTGACTATGAAAGATCTTGGAAGTAATTTAAGTCAAACATTAAGAAAATCCACATGTTGTAAGTTTGAAACAGAGCCATAAAGACTGTATCATAGAAGCAAGGAATAATATTTAAAGTAATCACTTCAAAGATCATGAGACCGGGAGCTGGCCTAGGTCTGGTTCATTGGCATGCACCTGTTTCAGACCCCAACATTAACTTCAGCAGAGTGTAGCTCTGAAATACCAGCCGGCAATACCTAGTGACGCCATAAGGTGAGTTGTATTCATACAGGCTACAGGATATTCATCATCCTTCCTCTTAACTCTCATATTTAAGGAGCCTATTAGGTCTGTCAGTGATGTACATATTCTGAAGGCAGAAGACAAACATCCAAACATCCTTTTGGGTGCCATCTCACTGAGGGTTAGGGTATTACCAATCAACCTCCAGGTGCCAGGCATCCTTGTGTAATTGCTTTTGTCCATTCTAGGAGACCAGCCTAAAATGTACCCACTATTTCTAGACCTCTTGTGTTGTACTGGCCAGACATTTGAATAATACTTAGGAATACTCAGGAATAATACTTAGGTGCCAGTTTCAATTGTAGAATGATTAGGGCAACCATGCATTGGTGGATATTTTAAAGAATAACTGGCCTATACAGGAAAAAAAAAATCTATTAATCTTTCTGACAATTGTTCAGTTAGGTAAATATAGTCTTAATCTCTAAGGACCAGCATGATTGGCTGCTTTAGGTTTCTTACATGCTGTCTGTTTCCAAAAGATATTCCCAGTCAGCCTGTTTACCACAGGATCAACATGTGGGTATAGCTGACCATGGCAGTTAGGAGAATTAATCTAGTTATGGGTGGACTTTCCAGTCCACACTGTAAAGTATATTAAAAATGGACCTGAAAAATGGGTCCATAGAAGTCTCTCTATCATTTTTACTGACCTGACAAGCTCCTGAAGCTGCATAGCTACAAACCCTGCAGCTGGAAATTGACCTTCCTCTACCAGGTTTCTCAGTCATTTTCATCATGACTGGTTTAAACTCTTCTTTGAAATCTGATTTAACTTACTGAGTCATGTTCAGTGCAGTGACATTCTCAATATTACAATTAAGAAAAAAAATTAAAATATTTTGTAAGATCTAGTGTGCCTCTGGGGTTCCCCCCTTTTTTGCCTTATAAATATTGATTTTATAGAAAGCACCAATTTAAAATTGGTCAGTTGCCACATACTAGAAGCTTCCAGAACCACAATTATGATTTTATGAAAAAACAAAAACATCCCCCCCAAAAAACAACAAACAAAAAAACACCCCAGACCAAACTGCCAGAAAATCAAGGTCCCAAATGACCAAAAGATTCTAAAGAAACATGTGGCTGGGGGTCAAGAGACCCCAATGCCTTAACAAGTACCCACAGTTGAAGGGAAAACCATGTAGAAATTCAAACCCACAGTCCTTTGCCCTCTGCCCCCCCACCCCCATGCTGTCAAGAGCAAGTCAAGGGCTTCCAAGTTTCCTGGGCTAGGAGCAAAGGCCACAGCTTAAGTAATGGGAAGAAGGAGAGTTTCCATAATTCGTTTTTTTTTTTTTTTTTCCTCTCTCTCTCTTCCCCTGTAGGGGAAGGGAACACACTGGTAGCTTGAGATTAAGGAGAAAACACTGAGTTTTCTTTCTTTCATGAGGAAAACAGAGAGATGGCAGGCTGCTATGATAAAGTGCCAGATCCACCTTGTGATCTGATGGTCCCCAACTACAAAAGAAAAGAAACAACACAGCTCCAGATATGAAGAGCTGAAAGAAGGCACAGAAGCGGGCCAGCATGGGGGAGCCCTAGGTGGTACCCAAATTAGCTGCCCTCAGCTCCCTGCTGGTGGGTCCCTGGGGGTAGAGAGTGGCAGGAGGGGGGTGGGGCTGGATGCAGAGGAAATGGAGATGCTGGTGCAAACACCTGACCTGAGGGCCCGCGACCTGGGTCTGAGGAGTGGAAAACCAACAGGGGTCACCGGGAGTTCTGGGTCACCCTGAGCCTGGTCTCAGTTCTGGCGGGTGATCCACACTACCTGGACTGGGGTGTGGGCTGGTGGCCCAGTTCTGGTCCCTGGCTCCCAGGGGTGGGGGAGGGGTGGGCGTGATGGGCTCCTCCCCTTCCCCTCCCCTTCCCCTCCCCTCCTCCCTGCCAGTGCGGCCCCCACCCAGCCCATTGCAGGGCAGCCTGCTGTCTCACCATCAGCTCAGCTCAGCGACAACACATCTAGTAGGAACATAAGGCAGGTCATGGTGGTGGGGCTTGGGGTGCCAGTGGCAGAGCCACACGTCGCCCTTCTCATCACCCATCTCATACTGTTGTAGGGACAAACGAGTGCAGGCACCTAAGACAGCAGGAAACAGTTTTGTTTGGCTGCAGCCAGGTTCAGAGGGTGCAGCCTTTGCTGTAATCAATCAATCCCCTGAACCCAAGTTCAGGGAGTTTCAGAGTTTTATACCCAGCATGTAAGGGGAGGGGCTCAGAAGTTCACAGAAAAGCAGCTTTTTCTCTCACTGTTATGGGCAAGTTAACTCTTCAAGGACAGCACCTGAGAAGGGGAGAGCTGCTTCTCCCCTTTCTTTCCTCCCCCTTCCTGCTGTTACCATGGATCCTAGTTGTAACTTATCTTAATGTAGACATCTCTGTGAAGCCCAGCTCAAGGCCAGAGGCCTCGTTTGCACATTTCTTCAAAGTACTATACTGGATGGGTTTGTGATAACTAGTGAGGGGGTGTCCAGCACCTGGAGTGCTGGTATCTTTTCAGCCAGTGGCCAAGTAAACAGGGTGGCACAAAAATAGGAAGTTTATCTACATTGAACTCTTTTGCAGAGACACTTTTGCTGACAGTCCCAAAATCAGCCATGGTGAAGAGGGCTTTTCTGTGGAGAAAGAGGGTGCCCACTTCAGTATCTCTTGCGGCACTGCTTGCAAGGGTCATCGAGGTACAGGGGGTTTCGGCTCCAATGTGTCTGTGGCCCGGATGCTGAATGCCTCGAAATGATGCCCTTGAAGTGGTGGCAGGTGCACTTGAGAAGCCATCTTGGGGGCAGGAAGCTGAAGATCTTGACCAGCACGTGCTCAGGCAGCAGCAGCAGCAGCAGCAGCATGTACTGTGGTGGCTCCAGCAGCCTCTGGATCTTGAAGCGGATCTCCAGGAAGTCGTGTGACACGTGTCGGTAAAGGCAGCACAGGGAGGTGTCTGCTGTGCCCTCAGCATCATCTGGGCCTGGCGATGTGGTTGGCACATCAGCTGGGGGTGGCCCATCTGGCCCCTGAGACTGGAGGAAGGGAGCTGGCCGGGTGGGGTGGCTCCTGGCTGGGGACAGTCAGGCACTGCCTCTTCTCTTACTTTCTTGGCACCGTCCTTACCAAAGACGCACTCATCCACCACACCCATCACCCCCACATCCATGCTCCAAAGTCCCAGGCAGGGGGTGGGGTGGGGTGGGGCGGGGGGACTATCCTCAGGCCTGGAGGGCTTGGGGTCTCAGCCCCGCTGGCGTCATCAGCCCTAGGCAGCAGGAACTCCATGGTGCTGGGAAGGGCACCCTGGAGGGGCTGATGAGCTGGTGTAAGTCACAGGTGATCTTGTCCTTGATTCCAGCCCCAGGGACCTGGGTTGCCAGGGAAGGCACAACCAGCCAGGCCCCGCATCCACTGGGTAGGCTGCCTGGGGCTCCCTGCCATTGGAGACAGGAAGGCAGTGCCTACCTCACCAGGACCTGGACCTGGCGAGCCTCCTGGCAGAGGCCCTTGGTCGGAGGGCTGTCCACCGGGCCTCAAAATGGCCTACTGCTTCAGCCACACGACTGCAGTCACCACCGCCAGATCTCCTTCAGACCCCAACCCCTTAGGTGGTCCACCTTGCTCAGCAGACACAAAGACCACAGGCGCTGGGGTGGTGGGGCAGGGACAGTTCTGCAGGGCCAGGGCACCCCTCTGTTCTACCAGGGCCACCATCTCTATGACAGAGAGCAAGTCCACATCCTTCCCTGCTGAAGTGGGGTCCCCCTCGGCAGCAGGGGTCCCTCCTGGCCACCTGGGTCTGGAGGAGCTTTGGTGGGTTCCAGACAGCTTGGCCTTGGAGCTCCTGTCCCCCCTTGTCTTTATTTAATAAAACTGAGTCAAGGCTTGGCGTAAGCCATAGCACTACCAGTTTAAGTTATAGGTAATAGTACAAGTATTTAAACACTAAGAAAGAATTATCTTTTATGCATTATTGCAATTTCCCAATATAGACTAGTTGATCCATCCTAACAACTTAAAAAGAACTCTCAATCTCTTTGAGAGAAGGTCTCCAAATATCTCTGTATTTTAGAATATTATCCTTTCAGCACTGGGGATGTGGCTCAAGTGGTAGTGCTCACCTGGCATGTGTGGGGCGCTGGGTTCAATCCTCAGCACCACATAAAAATAAAGATATTGTGTCCACTGAAAACTAAAAAATAAATATTAAAAAATTCTCTCTCTCTCAAAAAAAAATTAATATTATCCTTTCAATAGGTGTCTCTTAATTATCTTTTAGAAAATATGATGAAGGTTACTTCCCAGTGGAGGGAATAACATATAAATCTTACCATATTTTTTGTGGATAATAGGTCTAGTCAGAGAACTTATATCAATGAATTTCCAACCAATTTTGCAACTTTCATTGCTCAAAACCAACTTGTGACTTTAATTTGAAGAACATCAATCTTAATAAAATGTTCTCCCAAATCTCACAATTATCCAACAAAAGTAATATATAGGAATTAGCAGAGTATTTGAGTCAGTCAATTTTAGTCCTCCAAGGAGAATTGTCAAAATTGGAATCTAAGTCAGCAGTTTAATATATTTAGTGTTTAGTCAAGGATGTGAACATATTTACCAAAATTAATCCTTACCTGAAGCAGTAAAAAATCATTAGGCAATAAAGACCTTCTTTAACAAAAATAAACTTAACATTTTAATAGGTCTTTATCTTGTCAAAATATGGGCAAATATTTTAGCTTATATCAGCATAGTAAAATTAGGGAAATACCCTGAAGTATCCTTGAATTAATCAGTTAAATTTTTATGGTCAATCCAGTACATATAAATGTTCTTCTCAATTGTTTTAACTTTCTATGTCATCTGTCTAGATAATGATGTAAAGATCTTTCTATTTAAACAACTACTTTTATCATTAAAATCTAGAATATAAAGACCTGCTTCACCCAAAGATGATCCCTTTCTTGTTCTTAGGACCTCCTATGTGTGCTTTCTCTCTGTTGAAGCATCTTTTTCTTTTATTAGAATTTTTCCTAGTTACACTTTGGAACAATTTCTGAAAACTGTAGAGTCTAAGCAAATTATTATACTTTCATAAGAAATGTCTGAATGAAAATACAGTTAAAACCCTTGGATATTCTTATAGACAAAGTCATATCTGTTTATTCTAAAAGTTTGTGCAGTAATTTGAGATTACTTGATTATGTTTTGAAAGTAAATTTATAGTAAAATACATTCATCTCAAATATCTGTAACTAAAAGGCAGAGCATCAGGTAAATGCATGTGTAAGAAATATATACATTGTGTGTTTTCTGTTGAAGAAAAACAATTAGATAAATATATATTAATTAAACAATTTGATATGTTAATTATTTTATGGATCAACAACTATAGGTTATTCAAAGAGCATAACTTGTAGTTGTATTAACTTTATGTAACCACGTGGTTCTTAAGATATTTTGGATCCATTTCAATTTATTTTTAACTAAGAGTGCATTCTTATATATGATTCACATGATGTAGCTGAAATAAGATCCTTATGTATATTTTATTCTTTTTGACAATACATAGGAATGAGAATAAGGATTTCTTGATCACAGGAACATTGCCGGCTTTTGTTCCTGCAACAAGCAAATGCATTCCCATAACCTCCAAAATTAAAAGCAAAATATAAAGAGGCATATGTTTGATATCTCTAATCAATAGAACATTATTTAGTAACAACCATAGAGAAAAGTCAGGTTATGGAACTCAAAAATAACTTTTAATAATTTGGGCTGCCACACAGTAACCTGTGGAATTAGGTTTTTCCTGGAAAAGATGTAGTTTGTTAGCATTTACAAGTGGGGATTCTTAAAAGTGCAGGCTCTGTAGTTTCAGGATCAAATCTGTGTGAAACAGGAAGGAAGGTTAGTGGCTGGGAGGCAGGACCAGAAGTCCTGTCTGAGTGACAGTGGAAGGACCAATAGGAAGCCTTGGAAATGCGGGAGCAGGACCAGGAAGTCCGCTTGGCCAGCCAGGCTTTGGGTGGTTACCATGGTGATGGAAACAGCATGGAGCCCATTGCCCATAGTTCAGGGAAGAGGCTCCCTGAGCTTCCCAGCGGGTGGCATTGCATTTGGTTTGTTCCTATGAAGCCTCGTCTGGAGACCTGCACTGCACTCTTGCAGTTCATGGACGTTTTCCTGTATGATCCCTTCACAGTGTCCTCCTGTCTTTTGTACTTTCCCTGGGAGCACATGGGTCCTTTAAAGGTGAGTGTTAACCACAGACACCAGTGTTACTATCAGATTTTAAGGCATTCTGCACCCAGGCCAGGTTGCTTAAGGGTTCAAAGCACTGTTGGTGGTGGCTCTAGTTACAGACACCACAGGGAGCAGCGGCTAGGCTCAGTTACAGTCTTTCTGATCCATAGGACAAGAGTGTAGCAGAGGTTCAGAACCTTCTGAGTATTCACAAAACAATAAAAATATAAAATTCACTTCTCTACAGGTAGAGAATCCTTGTATCATCTCTCAGCACAAAAATTTTCTTCCTTTTTTCTCACTGTCCCAGCACAGACTTCTAGTACATAAACCCTCCCCAAAAAAATCTTAATGTTTCAAAATATAAAGATTCACAAAAACAATCCCAAAAAGTCCACAAAAGCACTTTTCCCATGAAAGAGGACTGAACTTAACATATCCCACTAATCATCTTAATAATACTTTACATTTATTTAGAGTCTAGAATTATAAAATTATTTTTTATAAACACAGAATTTTCCCAAATGTTTGAAAGTTTAACCTCACAGAGTTTTCTTCTAATTCACTTACTTTCTACAATTCAGCCCACAATACTCTGCAATCCAAAGCATGCTTAACTTCTGAAGAGAAATTCCAAATGCACTAAATTTATAAACATCACTCTGGAGTGGCCATATGGGCCACCAATTGTCACATTTCTCACACTAAAACTCTCAGGCTCACTCCAGGTGAACTCTTTAGGTTGAGTGCCGCCAGAGGCCCTGACCTCTAAGAGCTGAGTCCCTAGGCAGGGACAAGCATGTGTCCACGTAAGGGGTAGCAAATAGATGGCACCAACTCCCCTGCCTCAGTGTTCTCAAAAGTTTCTTATGCTTAAAAGTAAAGGCCCTGATGTGCTCAGGCTCAGGCTTTCGGAGTTGTTCCCCTGGGCTCTGGTGCCACTACTAAAGTGTTGCTGCCAGATCTCTGGGTCTTGCCCTCATGTGCTGCTTCCCCAGAAGCAAGGAAAGAGCAGTGGAAACAGCAAGAGCTCAGTGCTCTGGCTCCTCCAGGTAGCTGTGCTGGGGCCTCTGCTTTAACACAGACTGGTGCTGCTTCACACTCTGTTGCTCCTGCACTCTGCCCACCCCAGCCTGGAGAGACAGCAGTGCTGAGCATGCAATGGATGCAGCTCTTGGTCTTCTCTGAAAGGGTTTCTCCTGGCCTGTGTGGGCTTCCTTACTTCCTCTGTATACCTAGGTATTCTTATTTGGGGGCACAATACAGTGGAGTGAACCCAAGTGTTTTGAAACAATGAGCCAAATCCCCAGCCCCCTGTATTTAAATTTTGTTTTCAATTTTGAGACCGGGTTTTGCTCAATTGCTTAGTCGCTCCCTGAGTTGCTGAGGCTGGCATTGAACTTGCAGTCCTCCTGCCTGAGCCTCCTGAACCTGGGTATTTTTGAAACCTGATTTCCAAAAGAAATTCTCCCTCAGCTTTCTTCTCTAGACTTCAGGTGGTGGTTGAGTGGCAAAACAATAACTTGCTACTATTCCTATATGCAGGCTGTGGGTTTAGTTAACTCTTTTTAAGGAATTCCACCTATTTTTTCACAGTAATTTCTTCTGACTTAGAACAGTGAGAACCTTTTTAAAATTTCTTTAAGATGTTAACATAGTTAGTTCTGTGATAAATTTAATAGAAATTAAAGAAACTTGGAAAAGATCTGCTGTGTGCAGTCTGTAGCCAATGACTAGGGTCTCATACTGGGAGGTCACACCCCTGTCCTGCACCAGAGAGGGGCTTTTTGAAGGGTGAGTGAAGGTCACACCCTGCTTGCTGCTCTCCAAGACTGCTTCATGGAGTTGTGGAGAACCTCTTGGGGCTTTCACACATGATGATGTTCTTGTTCTAATGGTTCTGCTTGTGTGTGGAACATTCCCTCTCTCTGGAGTCATCATCACCTGGGATGTAAATGATTTTCCTTCTTCCACGGTCCGTTGACTATATTTGTGGGAGTCTCTTTCTGGGCTCTGTTCTGGTCTATGTTGTGGTAGTACTGTGAGGGCCCCAGAATCTGAGTTGTGTCATGTTGGTGTCTATTTTGATCTTTTTTTCTTTTCTGCTTATCGTTTTTAGAAAATTGTTTACCTTATTTTTCTATAAAAGTAAATTTTTCCTAGACATACTGGTGAGTACCTATAATCCTAGCTGCTGGGGAGGCTGGGGCAGGAGGATCATAAGTTTAAAAGCTAGTCTCTGCAACTTAGGAGGCCCTGAGCAACATACAAGATCCTGTCTCAAGATATCAAATGTGTCTGGGATGTGCCTGTGTGGTTCTGCTCCCCTGGATTTGATCCACACTGCGTTTTTGTTTATTTATTTGTTTTTCAATTTGTCACACATAAATAAGTAAATAAAAATATATTTCTCTTAAATTTCTGAAATGGGTTTTAGTCTTTCACAGTTAAATGTACAATAAATCACATTTGTCTGCAGAATAGAGGGAGGAAGTACTTGCCACGTAGATTCTCATTTGACTGGACCATCATTGTGATCTGTCCCCAAGACACCTGCTGTCACCCATAATTTTTCCATGCCATGAAGAACAGCCCACTAAAGTCTTTCTCTTGGGCTCCTACTAGCCTCTGTTGATACTGTCGTGCTTCAAATGTCATGTGTCTTATGTCCTTGAGCATGGTTCTTTGTGAGTGGCAAGGTCCTGTTCTGGTAGGTGGTCTTTTTGGCTCTTCCACACTGTGCAGAAATCATAGCCTGCTTAGAGACCCACATGGAGTGGCCTGTTTCACAAGCAGTCAGCATCGGATAGTTCAGGATTCTGGGCTGCAAACCTGCTGCTTTAACACACCCTGGAAGTGCTTGTGCCTGAGGTTTCCTTGCACCAGCTGTGCTACAGGAATGAGGAATCTCTTTCATGACAGACCACCATTGTACATGTGGCCTATCTTGATCAAAGTGTCCTTGAGCAGAACGGTGGTGTGTGTCTCATGACTGTAGATGATCTGAGTGAGACATCTGCTGTTCAGAAGAGCTTGAGAATCATTGGACATTCATGGTTGCCACAAGGTTTGGAAAAGGATTTTCTGCTGTCTGTTAAGAAAACTGTTTTTCAGACCTATATAACTTTGTAAGGCTGTTGTTTCGATAAGGTGACATCTGGGGGTCATCGAGTTTTTCCTAAGACATGCCATCTTTCCATACACCCCATTCTGCTTTGACATTAACCACTAGAAATTATTATATTGTTGTGTTTATTAATCAATGTGCTTGATTACTAATGGGTAAATTTGTTCTGGAGTAAAGCTCCTGCAAACTTCTAGTTGTCCTCAGTGTAATCATCCAAGTTGAGCTCAGTCCCCAGTGAACACATTGTGACAATCTGTGTGGAAGATTGTCTAACTGTTGTCTATGAGGGAAACTCTTTAGTGACTCCATACTCGGAGGGTGTGGGTTGGGGCTGATTCTAGGCACTTCTTTAAGGATGGAACAATTGACTTTCAGAAGGAAACAGGAGATCAGTAAATACCATGTTGTCTATATTAAGTGTGTAGGCCCAGTGAGCCACTGTGGTTGGCAGGATCTCAAATGCTGAGTTTTGTGATCCCAGCAATTTCCTACTCAGTCAGCTTTCTTTTCTAAGGGTAAATAATATGAAGAATGCTAATATTAGCTCTCTACTGCACAGGATGTTGGTAGGATGGTAATAGAGATGCAATCAACAAATAAGTTAAGGGTGACCCGAGAGCCCCTCTTACTTCCTGTGAACTCACCAAAAGTGAGTTCACCAAAGGAAGGGTGTACAACACTCTCTGTTTACCTTCTGTGTGGGGCCCAATTCTAGTGTTGGAGTGGCTGTGAGGACTTAAGTACACTAAAGATTTCATGGACAAAATCGTGGAATTAATCGGGAGGCCAGGGAATCGTGAACATCATGCATGGTGAGTATAGATTTCTCACACTGTCAATCTCTCCTGGCCTCCACTACACATTTGTGGGATATTTTAGATCTCAGTGACCTTTGAGGATGTGGCCGTGAACTTCACCCAGGAGGAGTGGATTTTGCTGGATGCTTCCCAGAAGAACCTTTACAGAGATGTGATGCTGGAAGTCTTCAGAAACCTGGCTTCTATAGGTAATAATGTTGTGTAGTTATTTAATCAAATAGAGAAGTCGTGTTTATTTTGGTCATTGATGTAGAACATGAAAAGACAATCAATTGGTGAATTATTGTAGCATAAAATGCTCCATAAATTTGGAAAAGCATTTCTAGCTCCTAAAAATTTATAATGTTTTGGTTTGGCATTTTAGGAAAGAGATGGGATGACAAGAACATTGAAGATCAGATCAATAATTCTGGGAGTAATCTAAGGTAATTGTACTCACAAGAGGAATCCTTGAGGGAATCTGAGAATGTCATATAAATGTGCACAACTTTAAATGTATTTATTCTTACAAGATTTTTTACCAAAAACATATACTTAACTGAGACTGGGGTTGTGACTCAGTGGTAGAGAGCTTGCCTAGCACACTTGTGGCACTGGGTTCTCTTCTCTGCACCACATTTAAATCAATAAAGTTTATTCACAACTGAAATAAATTTTACATACATGTGTATTTAACTGTAAAATATACTCAGTCTTTTCAAAGTACTTGACATGCAAAAGTACTATGAAATTGCATATGTAAATCTCACTGTTTGGATAATAGTCATAGGCAAGCTGTGTTGCAAAGCATTGTTTCCTCTCAATCTCTTTATTTTCTGGCAATTTGAACAAGTTGGAACACCTAGTCTTTACCTGATGTTGGTAGTAATGTAAGCCTAGCACCTTTAAATAAATATAAAATCATGAATGAATCAAGCATTAATCATGTGCTGATCATTCTTTAAAGAAATCTTATGGTAAACTTCAAAGGCAAAGAACAGTATGGGGAAATTTTCAATGAGATTCCAGTTCTTAAGTAGACAAAGAAAAATTTTAATAGAGTGAATTCATATGACGGCATTATGTGTGCAACTGACTGCATATGTCCTTCATACCTTCACAGGCACTTCAGATCTCACTGTGGGCATGAATGCTATAAACATGAAGAGTGTGAAGAGAAGCCATGTGAATTGAAACAATACAGAAAATCTCTGGTTTCTCTCAAAAGTGTTCACACACAAATGTTAACACAAACTGGAGATGGACCATATGAAAGTACAGTATGTGGAAGAGTCATCAGTTGTTCCAGTGACATTCAAAGACATGAAGATTCTCATACTGAGTGCCAACCCTATGAATGTCAACAATGTGGTGAAGCCTTTTCTTCTCTCCCAGCTGTTCAAAGACACATGAGAACACACAGTGGAGGTAAACCTTTTCAATGTGAGGTATGTGGGAAAGCCTTTCATTCTCCCACATTATTTAGAAAACATGAAAGAACTCATTCTGGAGAGAAACTCCATAAATGTAAACAAGGAGGTAAAACTTTGGTTTCATTCACAAGTCTTCGATGTCACATGATCAGGCACACTGGGAAAGCACATTTCAAATGTAAGGTATGTGGAAAAGACTTTGCTTATCCCAGTTTATTTAGAATACATCAGAGAACACATACTAGAGAGAAACCCTATGAATGTCCACAATGTGGGAAAGCCTTCAGTACTTCATCTTACCTCCAGATACACGAATGGACTCATACAGGAGAGAAGCCCTTTGAGTATAAGCGGTGTGGAAAAGCCTTCACTCAGTCTGCTCACCTTCACTCTCATGAGCAAACTCATACTGGAGAGAAGCCCTATAAATGTCAACAATGTGGAAAAGCCTACACTACTTCATCTTACCTTCAGATACATGAAAAAATCCATGCTGGAGAGAAGCCCAATGAATGCCAACAATGTGGAAAAGTCTTCACTACTTCTTCTAACCTTCACAGACATGAACGAACTCATACTAGGGAGAAGCCCTATGAATGTAAGCAGTATGGCAAAGCTTTTACTCAGTCTCCTAACCTTCACTCAATTGAAAACACTCATATGACAGAGAAATCCTATGAATGCCAACAATGTGGAAAAGTCTTCACTACTTCTTCTAACCTTCACAGACATGAACGAACTCATACTAGGGAGAAGCCCTATGAATGTAAGCAGTATGGCAAAGCTTTTACTCAGTCTTCTAACCTTCACTCAATTGAAAACACTCATATGACAGAGAAATCCTATGAATGCCAACAATGTGGAAAAGTCTTCAGTACTTTTTCTAACCTTCAGATACATGAACGGATTCATACTGGAGAGAAGCCCTATGTATGTAAACTGTGTGGAAAAGCCTTTGCTAGATCTCCTCAGCTTCACATACATAAACGAACTCATACTGGAGAGAAGCCGTATGAATGTAAGCTGTGTGGAAAAGCCTTCAATGACCCCTCTAACCTTCACAGACATGAAAGAACACATACTAGAGAGAAACCCTATGAATGTCAACATTGTGGGAAAGGCTTCACTACTTCAAGTTACCTTCAGATGCATGAACAAATCCATACTGGAGAGAAGCCCAATGAAAGTCAACATTGTGGAAAAACCCTTGATACATCCAGTGAACCTCACATGCATGGAAGAACTCACACAGAAGAGAAGCCCAATGAATGCCAACAATGTGGAAAAGTCTTCAGTACTTCTTCTTCCCTTCACAGACATGAATGGACGCATACTGGAGAGAAGCCCTATCAATGTCAACAATGTGGAAAAGCCTACACTACTTCATCTTACCTTCAGATACATGAACAAATCCATGCTGGAGAGAAGCCCAATGAATGCCAACAATGTGGAAAAGTCTTCACTACTTCTTCTTACCTTCAGATACATGAACGGACACATACTGGAGTGAAGCCCTATGAATGTAAGCAGTGTGGCAAAGCCTTCACTCAGTCTGCTAACCTTCGCTCCCATGAGCAAACTCATACTGGAGTGAAGCCCTATGAATGTAAGTGGTGTGGCAAAGCCTTTGCTAGATCTTCTCAGCTTCACATACATGAAAGAACTCATTCTGGAGAGAAGCCCTATGAATGTAAACAATGTGGTAGAGCCTTTGCTACATCCAGTGAGCTTCACACACATGGAAGGATGCATACTGGAGAGAAGCCCTATAAATGTCAACAATGTGGAAAAGACTTTGCTGCCTACTCTCAGCTTCACAGACATGAAAGGACGCATACTGGAGAGAGGCCCTATGAATGTAAACAGTGTGGAAAAGCCTTCAGTGACCCCTCTAACCTTCACAGACATGAAAGAATGCATACTGGAGAGAAACCCTATGAATGTCAACAATGTGGAAAAGCTTTCACTACTTCAACTCACCTTCATATACATGAACAAATCCATACTGAAGAGAAGCCCAATGGAAGTCAACATTGTGGAAAAACCTTTGATACATCTAGTGAACCTCACATGCATGGAAGAACTCACACAGAAGAGAAGACCAATGAATGCCAACCATGTGGGAAAGTCTTCAGTACTTCTTACCTTCAGATACATGAATGGACTCATACTAGAGAAAAGCCCTATGAATGTAAGCAGTGTGGCAAAACCTTTGCTAGATCTTCTCAGCTTCACATACATAAACGAACTCATACTGGAGAGAAGCCCTATGAATGTCAACAATGTGGAAAAGCCTTTGCTGCCTCCTCTCACCTTCACAAACATGAAAGGACGCATACTGGAGAGAGGCCCTATGAATGTAAGCAGTGTGGGAAAGCCTTCACTGACCCCTCTAACCTTCACAGACATGAAAGAACACATACTAGAGAGAAACCCTATGAATGTCAACATTGTGGGAAAGGCTTCACTACTTCAAGTTACCTTCAGATGCATGAACAAATCCATACTGGAGAGAAGCCCAATGAAAGTCAACATTGTGGAAAAACCTTTGATACATCCAGTGAACCTCACATGCATGGAAGAACTCACACAGAAGAGAAGCCCAATGAATGCCAACAATGTAGGAAAGCCTTCAGTACTTCTTCTTACCTTCAGATACATGAACGGACACATACTGGAGTGAAGCCCTATGAATGTAAGCAGTGTGGCAAAGCCTTCATTCAGTCTGCTCACCTTCGCTCCCATGAGCAAACTCATACTGGAGTGAAGCCCTATGAATGTAAGTGGTGTGGCAAAGCCTTTGCTAGATCTTCTCAGCTTCACATACATGAACGAACTCATACTGGAGAGAAGCCCTATGAATGTAAACAATGTGGTAGAGCCTTTGCTAGATCCAGTGACCTTCACACACATGGAAGGATGCATACTGGAGAAAAGCCCTATAAATGTCAACAATGTGGAAAAGACTTTGCTGCCTACTCTCAGCTTCACAGACATGAAAGGACGCATACTGGAGAGAAGCCCTATGAATGTAAACAATGTGGAAAAGCCTACACTACTTCATCTTCCCTTGTGATACATGAGCGAACTCATACTGGAGAGAAGCCCTATGAATGTCTACAATGTGGGAAAGCCTACACTAATTCCTCTTCTCTTCTGATACATGAACGAAGTCATACTGGAGAGAAGACCTATGAATGTCAACAATGTGAAAAATCCTTTGCTACATCCTCTCAGCTTCACTTACATGAACAAACCCATAAGGCAGAGAAATTGTACTCTTGAACACAACTGGTAAAGTCTTCTGTTATTACTGTTCCTCTCATTAACATGTTAGAAGTTTATAGGAGAAAAATCCTTTAAATGTGGAATGTGGTGGGTCAATATTTCTTGTCCCCTTCAAACACAAAAAAGGGCTCACTCTGCTGAATATTGTACTGGGGATTGTACTGGAGATTTGGTCTGGTGGCACTCTACCACTGAGACACATCCCCATTCCTTTTTGGTTTTTGAGACAGGGACTATCTAAGTTCCTTATGGTCTTCCTAAGGTGCTGAGGCTGGCCTCAGACTTGTGATCCTTCAGCCTCAGCCTCCCAAGTCTCTGGGATTAAAGGCGTACACCACCACATGTGACTGAATAAGTGTCTAAATGTGAAAAATATGGTAAATCATTCCATTTTCTCTGTTGCCTTCAAAGCCATTTCAGTCACACTGTGAAACAAGCCCTCTGAATTGGGGGGGGGGATTTGCTACATTCCATTAGCTTCACGTCCCAGACCTACTTTTCTTCTCTTTTATGAAAATTTTCCCTGTTTCTTCTGGGGACTGGGAAGATTCTTTTGGAAAGATTTATGCCAAAATGAATAAGTCCTATGTGAGTAAGAAATACAAAGGGCTCAGGTGTTCCAGTTTTGTTCAGTTGTATGAAAGGACTCAGACTGTAGAAAATCCTGTGGATAAGCCATGTGGGGCAGTATGCAGCTTTCACAGTTTCCTCCAAAGACATGAAAGGATTCACATCAGGGAAAACCCTACTGCTCTTTAAACGATGTGGTAACACTTTCAAATTTCCAGGTCTCTTGTTTTTTCATGTCTTTATACATGTAGTTTGTTTTTTTTTGTTGTTGTTGTTGATGATGATGATGATTGTTTGTTTTTGCATTACAATTCTTATTACACATATATACCACAGTTTTCATATCTTTATATATAAAGTATGTTGACACGTAATTCGTGTCTTTATATATTTACTTTGAGTAATGATGTCCATCACATTCCACCATCCTTGCTAATCCCCTGCCCCCTCTGTTTCCCTCCCATCCCTGTCCCCTATTTAGAATTCATCTATTTCTCTCTCCACACCACAATGGGTCAGCCTCCTTATATCAGAGAAAACATTCAGTATTTTTTTGGGGGGGATTGGATAGCTTCACTTAGCATTATCTTCTCCAACGCCATCTATTTACCTGAAAATGCTATGATTTTATTCTCTTTTATTGCTGAGTAAAATTTCATTGTGTATATATGCCACATTTTTTTTTTATTTATTCATCCACTGAAGGGCATCTAGGCTGGCTCCACAGTTTAGGTATTGTGAATTGCACTGCTATAAACATTGATTTGGCTGTGTCATTGTAGTATGCTGTTTTTAAGCCCTTTAGGTATAGTCCGAAGAGAGGGATAGCTGGGTCAAATGGTGGTTCCATTTCTAGATTTCCAAGGAATGTCCATACTGTCTGTACCAATTTGCAGTCCCATCAGCCGTGTAGGAGTGTACCGTTTTCCCCACATCCTACCAACACTTATTGTTGTTTCTCTTCATAATAGCTGCCATTCTGACTGGAGTGAGATGATATCTTAGCATAGTTTTGATTCGCATTTCTCTGATTGATAGAAATGATGAGCATTTTTTCATATATTTGTTGATTGATTGTATATCTTCTTTTGAGAAGTGTCTCACAGGTCTTTTTTGTGACCACTCATCTGACTTGAGCCCCCAGTATGGTATCATCTCCCTCTCTCACCTAGAGATTTCCCAGATCCTGATCTCTCAGTTGTGTCCCAGATTGTAGTCCCCTTCCCTCTCTTATTTATCAGGTCCCACCTGCAGGGCCTCTCAGCCCCAGCTCACTCCAGGTGGGCGGCGCACTGCACTCCTGTCCACCTGAGAGCTGATCTTGTATTGGGAGGCCACTGTGACCATTATCACCGCTGGGGGGTGGCTGGAAATCAGGTACCTGCTGAGATGGCAATTCCATCTGTGAGCTATGTCCCCCATAAAATGGCGAGGAAGGTGATTCAAGATGGAGTCGCTCTGCTTCCAGAACCCGGGTGTCCAGTGAGGCGGGGGAGCTGGCCGATGGCCTTGTGCTGTGGACAGGTAGCAGCCGAGTGAGCTGCGTGGGAGCAGCGCAGCCTGGAGCTCTGCAGAGGGGCTGAGGTGCTTCTGCTGAGCCGCTGGAGAGCCGCGTGTGGGCTCGAACCCGGGCCCTGGCTCCAGAGGCCGAAGACTCCCTGGAGCCCAGGGGCTCTGGTTTCTGCGCGGGTGGTCACAGCGCCGGTGATTTCTGTGAAAACCCACGGCTTAGGGGGCTTCTCCCTCTCTCTGAGATGCGGTGTTCCGTCTAGGCGAGACCTTGTGGAGAAGCAGCCTGCCTACTTCCTGGGCTTCACCAGGGAGCAGCAGAAGCAGCACCTCCTCTAGCCCCACCTTCCGTCTCCAGGCCTCCGACCAGTGGGAAGGATCGCCCTGGAGGAAAGCGCCAGAGAAGAAATGTGGTGAGACTTCAGTTGACTCACATTCACTTAGACTTGCTCAGACCTAAGGAAATTTTTTTTGAATAATAATAATAATTATTATTATTATAATTATATAATTAATAATAATTATAATAATAATATTTATAATATTATAATATTTGCAATAATTATAATAATAAATATATAATTATAATAATTATTATTATTGTTGTTGTTATTATATTATTATTATTTTTACTACTACTTAACCTAAAGGTGCTTAACCACCAAGCCACATCCCAGTCCTTTTTAATTTTTTTTTTTTCAATTTTGAGACATGGTCTCACTAGTCATGGTGCTAAGTTGCTGAGGCTGGCCTTGAACCTGTGATCCCGCTGCCTCAGCCTGATATGGTCCTGCACTGTCCTCAGCCAGCAACCTCTTTTTTGAGAAAACCACTGTCACTGAGGGGAAAGTGTGTGTGCCTTCATTCCTCCTGTGTCTCTTCAGAGGTCATAAAAATGCAGCCTGCAGTGGATGTAGGGATTGTTTCAGCATGAAGATGTGAAAGTAGCATGTTTTTCTGAGTTGAATCTCTCTTATTGTTAGATTCAATTTTTCTGTATTTTAAGTTTTCTGCATCTGTAGTCAACTCATATATTATGACATAATCTTATATATACTGTGCATGTATGTGTGTATGAAAAAGTTAGTTGTGTTAACTTTCAGTCACAACATTTTAATTCTTTTTTAGAGTTTTTCTCTCTCTCCTTCCATTAAGTACATTTTCTCTTATATTGTCCATTTTTTTTTCCACTAAAGGCTTTATCAAATAAATGGTATTTTAAAACTCTGGTCTCATAATTTGAAAACTTTTTCCATATGTAATTCTGATATTTTCTGTGTCCTCAAATATTGTATGACTTTTACATATGTTATGACAAAATAAAAATTGTGAGAGGTTTTAGATATATAATTACCAGGCTCAGAGAATGGAGAAGAGAAAAGGAATATTATCATCATTGTATCTGGAGTCCTTAAGCACTGAGCCCCATCCCTAGTCCTTTTTAATTTTTTGTTTGTTTGCTTGCTTGTTTGTTTCGTAGAGGATCTTGCTAAGTTCTTCTTCAGGGCCTCCATTTCTTGCTGAGGCTGAATTGAAGCTTGTGATCCTCCTGCTATGGCCACTGGGATCACAGACATATGCTACCGTGCTCAGCTCCTGGGTGTTTCCTGAATCCCTGATGTAAATCGAAATGTGCCTTGTTTGTGTCAAGTTTCCAGGTGTCACCAATTCAGATGCCAGAATTACTTCTTCATGTGTTTCTTCTTCAAGCTCTAAGATTCTAAGATAATGCTGATCATCATAAGAACATTAATTCACACCTTCTAAATTATTATTAGTTCAGTTGAACTAAACTGGAGTCGACTTGGAAAAAAATGTATATTAGATAATTTATGTTGAAAACAGGGGTGGAAGAACTATTTCAATATTTAAGGAAACCAATTATTCATTTTTATTAAGAGCTCATGATATAATGAACTTCAGTTAATTTCCCTTCCATGCACCAGGCACCAGAAAAGCATCTTAGCAGGGTCACAGAGACTATCAAAAATGGCCTGGCTCTCACGTGAGTGTTCTCTAGAGCACCAAGTGACATTAAAAATGGGGTGAGTTTTGGCACCCACATATGCACTCTCATGCTTGTGCACGTGCACACTCAAATATACAAAGTTGCCGCAGGTCTGGCTGTGCACAATCAGGAGGCCACCTTGTCAAAAGGAAACGAACTTTATTTTTAGACCACACACGACAAACACAATAGTCTCTCAGGGAAAAAAACCCTCAGGAGCCTCAACGGCCACCCGGCTTTCACAAGCCTCTCTCTCCCCCACAAGCTTTCTCTCACCTCCCACAATCCTCTGCTCTGAGCCGATTGGTGGGTCACGTGGGCGGAGCAAAAAAAAGTCCCCAATGAGCAGCTCGAGGTCTGAAAGGCAGGGAAAACCAGCCCATGAGCATCACCGCAGAGGAGCCAATCAGCTAAGATGGTCTGGGGCCGAGAGAGCAATCAGCTAGATGTTGCTGGCGGCCGCCGTGAGCCAATCATCAGCCAGCAGCTGGCAAAAACAAGGGTTTGCTGGCAGCTGGAAGTTGGCTGGGGCCTTGGCTGTGCTCTCAAACATCTCCCCCTCTCTGTTTAAACAACAGCAGTGGGCCTTAGGGGACAGTGCCTGTTAGGCAGTCAATTCAACATATGGTCCTTACCCGTCATCGGAATGAACTGAACCTCTAGGCGTCAGCCTCCTGTCTTAGGTTGGTACCACTGCAATTGGATCATACCCGTCATGACTACCGGTCCAGCATACAGCCAACCTGTGGATAGGCCTTTGCACCTGTGGGTGGAAGTGAGGTTCTTTGCCTCACATCTGTTGGCCACCCCAAATTTAGACCACACTAGTAGAGGACGGATGCCAAAATGCCCATGACTTAAGCCAAATTGAGGGCCCTTCTGAAAAAATTGACACCGGTGACATTCAGCAAAAAATTTACCCAAACACTACCATAAGTCTCTGCACAACAGATCGGTCACAATGCATACAGGTGACTCACATGTGTCAGGCAGGTTCTGCAAGCAGGTCAGTGATGGCTATTGTAGAATCTGTAGATTGGTTTTATCTTTGACTCCACCAGCACTCGGATGAAAAATAGAATTATGGCAATAATGACTAAAGAAAAAAATTATGTAACCATTCCAGAAGGCACTAAAAGAAAACAATTTTCTTAACAATACATTGTCTTCCACGGCACTGGGGGGGGGATGAGATAGGAATTCTGGCAATAATGGCTAAAGAAAAAATATGTACCACTACAGAAGGCACTAAAAGAAAACAATTCTTAACCTTGACATTCGTCTTCACGGCACCTGGGATGAAGATAGGAATTTATGGCAATAATGGCTAAAGAAAAAAGTATGTAACATTACAAAGGCACCCTAAAAAGAAAACAATTTTCTAACAAGTTACATTGTCTTTAAGGAATATTAAATATAATGAAAAGGAAAAGGTGAAAGTAAACAAACAGATCTGTTAACCTGCTTTTGTTAACTATTAAAACAATCCTCAAAAAACGTTGTTTAACCCAATTTAATTAAACCATAATAAATCACGTGAAAAAAAAAAATATTTGGCATCCATTTTATATAGAGCGCTCATCATATATGATATATGGGGACATTAACGTACATTCAAAAATAACACAAAACACAAGTGGCACACAATATAATACATACAACACATAACAATATAGTAAAGGCCTTATACTTTTACAGGTGAAATCTCCATTGCAATGTTTAAAAACTCTATAGTCAAAACGAACGATCAGCAAAACATTAACCTAGGGTCTGTATGGGTCCAAAAAAGAGAAATAGAAAACTTCATGATATGGCACAGGGCAATAATAAAATAGATATGAAAAAAGCATCTGGTTCTGTTGCAGATGTAAGAATAGCCAAACTGGAGTTTTGGATTATCAGTTGTATGGATTTGAGCCAAATCATTCTCTCTTTTTGGTCTGTAGAAATCGCTTTAGTTAAATCTTTCGGAATCCAAATAGGCTGCGTTTCCTGTGGAAAACCAATAAACCGACCCCCGACTCCAGACAATCACTGGGTCAGGACCTTGGTTAATCTCTCTGGGAATCCAAATCGGCTGCTGTTCTCCCTGTGGAAACACACAAACAGACCCCAATCCAGACAATTCTGGGTCAGGACCTTTTCCATTGTCCGTTAGAATATCCTTCCAAAGTACCTTGGGCTTATGACATTTTTTGGACACTATGCCTTTTCCGCAGCAATAAGTCCTGATGAATCCAAATTTAAAAAAAGTTTAGAGTAAAAAGGGTATTTTAAGTTATCTTTGGGAAATAGACCCCTTCCCAATTCCTCTTTTTGCTTTAATAAGTACATTTTAATAGGTTGATGAGCTCTTTCAATATGCTTGTCCCTGTGGATTGTATGGATTCCTGTTATATGAGTATGCCAAATGTTGAGCAAATTGTTTAAAATAGTAGGATTATAACCAGGTGCATTATCTGTTTTAACTGTTTGGACACCCACAGTGAAAATTTTGAAAGCAAGGAGCTATAACATCTTTTAGTTTTTTCTCCGGCATGAAGGGAGCGCATCAAAATCCAGAAGAAGTATCAACTGTAACATGCAACTATTTTAATTTTCCAAATTCTGGCAAGTGTTGTGACGTTCCCACCTGCCAAATATGGTTAGGTATCAATCCTCTAGGATTGACTCCAGATTAACTGTTGTAAAAAGTCACACAATTTTGACATGTTTATATTGTCAGCTTGTTCTTAGTTTTTATTTTAAAACGCCTTTTGTAAAGTATTAGCATTGACATGGAACTTTTTATGAAAATTATGGCTCTCTTCTAGTGTTAGAGAAAAAAAGGTATGTCATGTGTAGTTTTATCTGCTAAATCATTGCCCAAAACTAAGGGCTCAGGCAATCCTGTATGTGCCCTGATATGTCCTATAAAGAATGGATCCTTTTTGTCCCAGATTAGACTTTGTATGGGGAAAGCAAAGAGAAAACAGTAGAAGAAGGGGAAAATCCTACCAGCCTCTTCAAGAGATAATATAGCCTTAACTTCATTACTGACTATCAGAAAATAATAAATACAGAATCTTTAAACATCCACAAAAGCTTTGTAAAACTGCATTAAGCTCTACCTTTTGAGCTGATGGTTTGGGTACTAAAAAATGTAAAAAGTTTGTCAGGGGTAAGACTGCTGCTGCTTACCGTATTTGACCCATCAGTGAATATATTGGAGCATTCATGATAGTGTGTTTTCTTGTCATTTTTGGAAAAATTGATGAGGGCGAGTGTGGAGCCACAGCCAAAGGGGCCCCAGCAAACTTCCAGCTGCCAGCAAACTTCCAGCTGCTGGCTACTGATGGGCTCACAGCGCCCAGCAAAACATCTAGATGATTGGCTCCTCGGCCCACAAACATTAGCTGAGTGGCTCCTCTGCGGTGATGTCATGGACTGTTTCCTGCCCTTTCAGACTAGGAGCTGCTCATTGGGGGACTTTTTTGGCTCTGCCCACGTGACCCAGCCAATCGGGCCTCAAAGCAGGAGGATTGTGGGAGGTGGAGAGAGCTTGTGGGGGAGTGAGAGGCTGGGAAGCCGTTGGTGGCAGTTGAGGCTCTGAGGGGTTTTTCCTTGAGAGACATTTTGTTTGTCGTGTGTGTTCTAAAAATAAAGTTAGTTTCTTTTGACAAGGGGCTCCTGATTGGGCCAGAAGACTGCGGCAATGGTGGCTCGCACGGGGAGCGCACTGGGGGTAAGTGAAACTGCTCGCCCCCTGAGGCAGGGCGAGAGGATGAGTAGCCATTTCTAAAGATTATTCTTTTGTTATTTTGGTTTCAACTTTTGGTTTAAGTTGCCTGTCCTGGAGATGAGTGAGACGGAAGAAAAAACCGCTCATCTGAGGAAAACCTATTTACGTCTGAGGAACAGATAGGGAGAAGGACGGAGCCCATGTCAGGAGGATAGAAAGGTTATAATGACTTTTTGTTGTTCCCTTTTTATTCATTCTGTCTCGGTTTTTGTTTGCGTCATATTGATGGGTTGTATTATAGCTAGAATACGGGATCAGAAATTAGTAAAAAAAACAAAATGAAAGAGTGTTAAGTAAATTGTTAGAGGAAGGAGGCATCCCAGTAAAATCAAGAGCAGTCGGGACATACGTTTGAGTCCAATACGAAAATGTAGCCCAGGCTTTTTAAGGAGGAAGTGTTGAATAGTAGCACAATGGAACCATCATGGCGAGATT